CAGAGGAGCCAGCAAGTGAAGCACATTAGGAGGACCTGGAACCAACAACGGCCGAGGGTCTTTGGGAGGAGCCGGGTTCAGAGAAGGAGCGGAAGGTCCAACAACCAGCTGTTTGGGCTCAGAGTCTAGAAAGGAGGACAGACGGTTCAGGGTTTAGGAAAGGCGTAAGAACTCCGTCTGAAGGACATAATCAGGTTCACATCACTGGGCCTGTTGAAAAGGTCAAACCAGTCTGGATAATAATAAACAATTTTTATTACATTAAGCTGTTAAAGCAAAACTGGAAAAGAAAAACAGTAATTAAGATTCTGTTAACCAACATATTTAAATGATCTACTAATCAACAAGCATCAACCTTTATTCCTATCAAGTCTTATTCACTATATAGGAGCAAAATAATACACAAATAACATTAATCATTATTATTATGGATCTTATTCCACACAGTGATACCTTTTTTCTTTTTGCTCATACCTGAGTTGTTATTTCAGATGAAAACGTTCACTGATGGCTTGTATTCCTTTTATTTTTATGTAGATCCTCCTGTAGTTGCCTACCAACCTCTAAGTGTTTGTGTTGACTGTAAATGTGCGGCTGTCAGGCCGATCGATGCACAGAGACGGACGCCCAAATGTCCGACTCCCCTCTTTAGCAGCAATGTGCTTATATTCCACTTTTTGCAACATCTATGGACTAACCAGCAGGTGGGCAGACAAAAAGGATTCAGTGCTTACGGGTTAGATTTTACGTTAAGAGCCACTAGCTCAGTGGTTCCCAGTCCTGACCCTGAGGGAACCTGAGGTTTTCCAACACACCTGATTCCACTGAGGGCTCCTGCTGTGCAATCAGCCGCTGCAGAAGCCTGTTCACCATCTATTCCTTTGAGGTTTAATGCAACATGGAGACACCTGAAACCTGCAGGACAGTGTCCTTAAAGAGATCGGCTGGGAATCAACGAACTGTGGGATCTGTCACTCATACGCTAGCTAACATCAGCTAGCGCTGGTGCACATCAAACAGAATAAAGAAGAGCCTATATGCTGGTGAAGATTCTGTGTCATCCCAAAAAAGTAAAAAAAAAAACAATCCACTGGACTTTGTTTCCAAGTTTAAGGACGTTTCACTTTCGATCTAGGAAGTTTTTTTCAAAACATCTCCATCCCATATGTTGCTGGAGTCTCTGAAAAACTCACAAAATCCAAAACTCCACAAAATCTAAACCCTATCCCTAACCCTAGACTAAATAAAGCCGGATCAGAACCGGAGCAAACTAAACCTCCTCTGAATGATATCTGGCTGATTCCTCCCGGAGGAATGAGACACTCACCTCCCTGAATGGTCGATGCTGGATTAACTGGTCTCAGCTGGTTGATGGGAATCAGTTGGACCAATGATCCATCAGGCTTACGATAGTACCGGATCCCTGATGATGGCTGGATCGGCTCTGAAGCTCCCTTCTTTGGGCCTGGTAACCGAATGC